CTCTCTCTCTCTCTCTCTCTCTCTCTCCTCGATTGATTACCATCGTGAAAATACTCTACTACTAGCCTTGTCGACGGAACTCGTGGTGCAGCTGCAGGTGGTCACGTCGCTCATGTTCTCCGAATATTCCGAACCGGAACGATCCCTGGCCATTCTGCCGGTGACATTGGTACGGTGGGCCTCGCTCGTTTCCTACGGAACGTTTTCGCGTTTCTCCGTTTAGTCTTTTTTCCCTCCATCTCGTTTCCTTTATCCTCGAGTCGGCGCGAGGAACGGACAGCTTTACCTATCGACCGCGGCGGCAACTTTCTACACGGAAGAACGGCTCCAACTAAGAGGCTAGCATCGCGCGCGGCTCCACTTGCGAGACGAACTCGACGATGAAACGGCGAACGTAATCGGTGTTGCGCGAGGGTTACGGTTATACGCGGCGGTTGCGGATGCTGGCGCGAGTTACGCCATTTGGCAAGCTCCTCGACGATGTAAATGGAGCGGGAAACCGGTGGAAGAAAAGGACTTAGATTAGAAACCGGGCAACTGGCGTTACTCTTTCCGCGCCGCTACAGCCACCGAGTCGAGGATAAAACAACGAAACGGCATTTCTCGGCTGTTGTTTAGCGTACGGTTGCTCCCGCCGCGACATGCTGGCTGCGTAACCAGGTGAAGGACGACGGACGAATTGGCGTGCGCGCGCGACTAGAAAAACGACGAACGCTGCCCCGTGCAACGATTCGCGCGATGCACTTTTCCTCCTCGGAACCAACTGCCCCGTGGCCAGCCGAGCTCAACGACCACGATCCTTCGGGCTGATCGACCCATATGGAACCTCCGCAAATCTCGAATCTTGTTGCCGTTGCCGTTGATTTTCTCGATGAAAGCGGTACACGCGAGTACAGGATTCCGAGTAATCCTTTGCTTTGCTCTTTGCTTTTGCCTTTCACCGTGTTCGCGTTTTTCCGCGTTTTTCCGCTTTTTGCCTCGTCCTTGCCAGGATGAAGCAGCAGCAGCAGCAGAACGTACCGTTATCGTTTCGCGGAGGGTGAGAATCGGAATGCTGGTTCACTTACGTGTACACCCATGCAAAATCGGGACGGCAAACGTGGCGTGGTAGTGCGGCGGCAGGAACTGCGATTCTAAAGGGAATCTGGTAATCCGGTGCAACGGTCGATCGTAACAATTGGTGACATGTTAGCGGTGATCGAATCGAAGGAAGGTAGGTCTCACACGCGCACTACGCGCACTTGCTCGAGTTGCGGCAGGGTGAGAGCGCGGACTGGAACGAAGCTGGTCGCCGATCTAACGGTCCTGTTCCCGACCGCTTTATATACGCATATTTCGGATAGTCGAATCGCAGAGGTTTTTCGTGGCCGAAAGCGAGAACTCGTCGAGGGACCGGTCGGACAACGAACTCGATCCGTGCGCGGTAAGCGGCGGACCGAGACTCTCTCGACTCGCGGGGGCCCACCTGTTCCGAGCGAGAGCCGGCCAACTGGTCGCAAGCGCTGCTACCTGTCCGAGAGGTAGGGATATATACCTCGGCTACCTAGTTACTGCCGATCTTCGACGGGAGCCGTTTCGTGCCACGTCTTCCCTCCGATCCCCCACACTCTCCCTCGTCGCCTTTTCTCTCCTACTAACTTCTAACGAGTAAATCCTATCTCTTGTTAACGCGTTCCGCCGAGGTTCGCTGAATTCGATAAACTCGATTCCGCGAGCATTCGTGTCGAGCTTTAACCGGAAGCGAGGAAACCGGATCGAAAGTTCCCATTCGATATTCTAGGTACGGGAGCGCAGCAAGCCGAACTTCACCCGAACCCTTTTTCCGTTCCTTCCCGTTCGAGAAAACTCTCTTGCTGCCTGCATCGTGTACACGTAGCGGATCTGTATGCGTGTTCCACGTCCGTTAGTCGGCCGGCTGCTCGTGTGAGATGCAGAAGGAAGGTTGCTCCTCGTTCTCCATCGGAGAGATCTCTCTCGGTTAACTGTAAACCTCCCCACACCTCCTCCCACTAGCCTCTATTGCCTCCTCTCGCGCTATATCGAAACGCGGACGACTCTGTTAACGCGCGCGGCCAATTACGCGCAATTAGCTCGATTCGCTCGTCGACCTTCTCCGCTCCGTTCTTCTTCCTCTTCTTCCTCTTCTTACTCTTCCCTTCGCATATTCGAACGTTAGGAAACGTTTCTGTAGACGCGACGCGACGCGTCGCGACGCCACGCGTCGTTTCGATTTCGGTGACCTCGATCGAACCAGATAGCTGTATGCCAACGGAATTTACCACTCGGACGGTGACATTTTCTTTCGAATCACGGGGACCAGTTTTCAGGAGCGAAAGGAGCGAGTTACTTTGCCCCGCACCAATCCCGTCAAAACCACCGTCGTTCCCTTCGAGCCCCAGACGTTGCTAACTTTTGTTTCAGTCACATGATGGAATTCAATCCAATCCATTCGTCGTCCACCGTCCACTTTGTTAGCTCGAACAATCGTCAACTATATGAAGATATCGCGATTACGAAACTACGCTTTAGCAATGTGACTTGACCGCTGTTTCGTGATAAAGCAAAATACGATTTACGATGTCGAGCGAATCCCGATTGCGAAATCTGCCGCGAGTTTTTTTCCCCTTTGTATCTGCCGTTTATGAATTATTGTGAAATCAATTCGTACTAATCGGTCCTCGACCAAGGAGTAAAAAGGGAGTGCCGCCCGAACGATTTTATCGTTGTCAAGTTTTAACAAGCGTACAAACGAGTTTTACTTGCCGTGAATTAGCCGCGCGCGGGAAAGACTAGGACAGCGTGAAAGAATATCGGGAAGGGGGCTCGTCTCGATAAATTTCCATAGCGTGCGTGGAATTTCTAGTTGCGGAACGAGTCGCGCCTTCGTCCATCAAATGGCCAAACACGTAAACACATTTTTTGCACGATCACGATCTCGTTGCGAGCACGTTCTTTCTAAGGTCGGCTGGTGCTGTTTGCCGATGTATAAAAGGGTGAGCAGTCGGTGGAGAGCAGGTGTGTTTCGCGATGGAAGAACGCCGCACGCTCAAAGACGAGTTGAAGGTAGGATGTGCTTGCTCGTTCCACCATTCTCGCTCAGCGAGAATTTCTTTCTTTTTCTTTCGCAGTATCTCACGGGATTCGGCAACGAGTTCTCTAGCGAGGACGAACGTTGTCCAGGTGCCCTACCGGTCGGCCAGAACAATCCTCAGAAATGTCCTTACGGGCTCTACGCGGAGCAACTGTCCGGCACGTCGTTCACTGGTAAGTGATCTCCTACCGAGACCGAGATACAATATCAAGTTTCTACCTCACTTGCTACCAGCTCCACGCTCTCGAAGCAGACGTTCTTGGCTGTATCGGATCAGGCCTTCTGTCCTTCATAAACCCTTCGTCCCTATCAGTCGTGTAACTCATCTCGACTACCAATGGGACGCTATTACTCCAACACCTACTCAGGTATAATCGCCTTCTTCTTTTTCTTCTCTTCTTTTGCTCGATGCTGAAACAGTACGGTACTACCGTTTTAGCTCAGATGGAGACCGTTCGACGTGCCAACCAGACAGGCCGCGGAGGTGGACTTTGTCGGCGGTTTACACACGATATGCGGTGCGGGTGACTTTCGTGCTCGACAGGGTGTCGCGATCCACGTGTACCTTTGCAACGCCTCCATGAAGGACAAAGCTTTCTATAACGCGGATGGAGATTTTCTTATCGGTTTGTATCTTTCGGTACTCCTTCCGTTCTCGAGGTTAAGAAACCGCATTTTTTTTTTGTCGCAGTGCCTCAGCTAGGCGTGTTACTGATAACCACAGAGTTTGGTAAAATTCGTTGCGAACCAAACGAGATATGCGTGATCCAGCAGGGTATGCGATTCAACGTTGCGGTTTTTGGACCGTCACGAGGATACATTCTGGAGGTGTTCGACGATCATTTCCAACTGCCCGAACTGGGCCCGATAGGTGAGTTCAGACATATTACGTTTCCCGTCAATTCAGAGACTGACAACTTACATATAGATGTATATGTCCCGAACAGGAGCGAACGGCCTAGCAAATCCACGAGATTTTCAAACACCGGTTGCGTGGTACGAGGATCGCCAGACTAATTACGACATCGTATGCAAGTATCACGGGAGGCTGTTTGTCGCTGAACAAGATCATAGTCCGTTCGACGTGGTTGCTTGGCACGGGAATTACGTCCCCTACAAATACGACCTCGAGAAATTCATGGTCGTTAATACGGTTTCTTTCGACCACTGCGTAAGTATATAGACGACTGGCCTTTCTGACCTTCCAGATTCCCCGAACGAACGAACGAACGAATCGATGTTTGTTCGCAGGACCCTTCAATCTTCACCGTTTTAACGTGTCCGTCGGGAAAGGTTGGCACAGCCGCAGCCGATTTCGTGATATTCCCGCCCCGGTGGTCTGTACAGGAGCATACTTTCCGGCCTCCTTATTATCATCGTAAGTAGAAAGTCGACGCTTCCTTCTGTCACGGCGTAGTAGAGGCGAGAACGCGGACAAACGAACGAGCGAACGAACGAACGAACGAACGAACGAACGAACGAACGAACGAACGAACAGAAATTTCGAGAGTAGCCTACTCGCGCGATCTATAATCGAACTCGAACTCGAACTCGCCTGTCTCTCGCTCCGCCTCTTCGCCTTTCTTTCCTTTCCGCTTTTTCGCTTTCCACCGGAAAAATAGATAACGACGCCGTAATTGCACTCGCCGTTCCGTCCTTTTGCTTTTCTACGCTGATTTGTTGTCAATTCCACGGCTCGATACTTCGTTATGCTAGACCGCTTCTAAAAATCGCCTAGCCGAGATATCGGTGAAAACTCGGAATTTTCTCCAACCAACGGTCGATATCGACTTCCTTTTTCTTTCGCGACTATCATTCTGCGATATCGTCTCTCTCTCTCTCCGTCCCTCGATCGCTGAAGTTTCGAGGTGCGATAAAATCGTCACTATTACGATTCACGTGATTCGTTTTGACCTACAGGAAATTGTATGAGCGAGTTCATGGGTCTCATAAGGGGAAGGTACGAAGCTAAAGAAGAAAGTTTCCATTCAGGCGGAGCGTCATTGCACTCAATCATGACGCCACATGGACCGGATACGCGTTGTTTCGAAACTGCTTCGAACAGCAAGCTCAAACCTGAGCGTGTCGCCGATGGAACTCAGGCTTTCATGTTCGAAACGTCGTACAGCTTGGCGACAACTCACTGGGCCAGGAACCTTTCTAATAAGCTGGACAACGATTATTACAAATGCTGGCAAACTCTTAACAAGCATTTCGATCCGGACGTCAAACCACTCTGACCAACCTTTCTTTCTTTACATCGCACGCGTCTCCTCTTCTTCTCCCCTTTGTCCTCCTTTCTTTCCTAACAGCGCAGCGATGAAGATAAAAGTACGCGCGTTTCGATTCTCTCACTTCTTAATCGCTATCTTTCCTTTTCCCTAATTCCACCACCGACACCTTCCTTATAATAAACTCCTCCCTGATAAACGAACGCAAACCATAGATAAATAGATCGTATATACCTTTAATCGTGCTATTTATTTTTTGTTACTTGAATAATTTCATCGCGTTCCGGATTCGTTTTATCTTCGACTAGATTACGATTGGAAAAATATACGTATCGTTCGATAGTTTATCGAGGAACAGGTCGATACTTATCGCGAGCAAAGCTAGGAGGGAAAGTTACACTTTTTCTCGATAGAGCGCGTTCACGGACAAACCTCTATGTACTTACCTACTTACTCACTTACTCATATACCAATATGCATTTGTTGCTGCGCGTCGTGTGATATCGTTTCGAGAAATGTTAATTGTCGTCGTGACCGAACGTAATGTTTAATTGTGGGAAAATCGAAAGGTCGATCAACCGTTGACGCTTGGTGCGACGTAAATATGTTGGCTTGCAAGTTGTACGTTCGCTGTGGTTAACCTACAAAATCATAACCTTACTATGCGGAGGCTCGTCAACTTTGCGATGCTTCTTTGTTGTTTGAACAGAAGCGTCGCAGCTACGCATTGTTATCCGGATTACTGTCGGAACGTGGTAATTCTTCGATTTCTTTTTACATCACGCTGCTTCACCAACCGTTGCTAATAGCAAAACTGATAGCTCGTACTTGACAAGTGATCTGATCTGATCTGATTAACGTTCAATCTTTACAGACAAAATTAGTTTCTACGCCTGGTTTTCAATGCTTGCTGACGAACGTTCAGAAGAATGGAGGTACGACGAGACACGTTTATCAAATTATCTCGTGCGTTGGTTATGTTTAAACGCGCGATTCATACTTTCAAATGTAGAACCCTGTGACGTATAGAAGATAAGATAAGAATCAGGTATGCAAATTAGCTGGCCTTTCTTTTTCTTTCTCGATAGATTGCTCGATTCTCACGACGTTCGAGGGGTTTAGTCACGATCCACCAGAAGGTGCTGCTGTCAAATTTAGTTTACGTGCGTATACTTACAAACAACCAGGTGTGAAGGTAACTGCGTTTAATTTAAGCGTTACCAACCCAGACTTTTATGGTAAGAATCGGAGAATAAAAGGTGGTGGTGGGGTTTTTATCGAAATTTATCGTTTAAATTATCGTTTACTCTACCCACACAGGGCTGGTTACGCGCTATCAAAATTTACTGAACGAAAGCGAGTCGGCTTGTAGATACGTAAAACTTTATGGAAACGAGACGCATCCTCCGCCCGACGAATTCTACGTTTCATGCCCGTTCTCGAACGAATCTTACGAATCGATTCCTTACCGGTTAGATTATCTCGTGACCGGAGAGCGGTACAATTATAGCAAACGGTACATTTTCAACGTACCTATACATAGATTTATCGGTGAGTGGTGAAAACAGCTGTTACATTTCTAACGTGAAATCAAGCTTATCTGTTAAATATCTGTCGAATATTAGGGGAAGATGTAAGTATAAAGGAATACAAGCCGTTTGTATATATAGATGTGTCTCATGCACCTCTTCTCTCTTTACACGTTCAACCTCTGCCAGAAGCGTATAACGTGACAAAGTATAACATTTGGTTGATAAACAACGACACAGATTCCGTCACCTTCACCGGTGTATTCTCTACGACGAGCAAACAAGATATTCGGTACAATTTTACCGCGCACACTGGTGTTTTTTATTTTAAAGTTTCTCCGGTACATTCGGACTGCGGGCAGGAGGGGGGATGTGCGAATAGCACCACGCCTTTCATCATTATACGTAAGCGAACAAACAGACATTGAGACATTTTTTCTACCAAATAGGTATTTTCCACGGCTTTATGTTTTCTAGAAGAAACGTCTCATCGTCTGTTGATCATGATAATCAGCACAGTGTGGATACCACCGGTAATACTGTATGTCCTTTATCATCTTTACAAATTATATAGAAAGGGTAAAATTGCGATGTTCGTAAGTTTTCGATTGGATACTTTTCGTGCTATTCCATTTACAACGTTTCCCCCCTGCATGTTTCTAGAAGCATCGAAAAGGAGAGAGAAGCCAAAGTGTTTATTGGTGTACTCGCCGACCCGTCTATCCCATATCAACGTAATGATCGAACTAGCGAAATATTTAAGAATTTGTAACATTAACGCGATGATAGACATGCTCGATGTGACGGATACCACGGGCAAAGTTAGTATCAACGGGGTGACGCCGTATTTTTTATAATCGATGCGAGATATTCTCTGTTAATCCTTGGATTTGTTACGCCTCTCTGACGTAGGATCCGGAATATTGGTGCAAAGCTGCCTTTAGAAACGCGGACGTCGTTCTTATTGCAACGTCTCCACCAGCGAAAAGGCCCGCGGTATCCACCATTTATCGAAACACCGATAACTATCTTTTGAGACTGGTGAAAGAGCAGAATAATCAAGAGCAGAAAGAGAAGCGTTATTACATAGTGCAGTTACCCTACTGCAAATCGGACGACGTGCCCGAGGAAACGAGGCATTTCAAGAAGCTTTGCTTGCCTAAAGAGTTGCCGAAACTGGTGAACATGATTCACAAGGAGGAACGCGTGAAATCCGTTTCTTCTGTGTCCGACAAGGAATTTTTAGACAGCGTGAAATTAGCGAAACTCGAGATATTAGAGAAGGATGCGAATGTTGGAAAAGACGAACGAGAAACTGGTCGGTTCTCTTTAGATGCGTGCTAGTTTCGATCGTTTCCTCACCACTTGGTGCTTGGCTCACACGTATTGATTTTTTAGAAAACCTTTTAACCGTGGAAAACAGAGCGGACGATAACGCGATGTCTCAGTCGTTTGGGACTAACATCGACGAGTTAAATTTGCTCGGGGAGAGGAGCAAAGAGGACGAAGAAGTATGGACTCGTAAATCTTCGAAGAACGATATCTCTGGGTTCCGTATCGATGAATTAAACTTGTGATTTCGTTTTAAGTACCTTTTACCAACGTCTGGTGGACAAACTTAGCTTACGAGTAAGATATATAGTTTTTAAACGGCGTAAGACATTTTTTACACTTGTACCGACTTCATTTAATAAACGGTTAACCTTTTTTCTTTTTCTTTTCATCACCGTACACAACTTTTTCTGTCCGTTTATTCTGATTGACCACGACGTACAGCTGTCTATTCGTTCTTTCACAAATGCGCTACACATGTTTCCTTTCTTTTTTTTTTTTTTTTTTTTTTTTTTTCGCGTGTATTTTACTATTAAGGATGGTACGACGATAACAGTTACGTTGATGGCACATGCCTGCGTTAAGAACTAATCGACGTTTCGAAAGTAAGCGAGTGGCGAGTGGCACAAAACTAAATTTGTACCTGAACGTTTGTGCTATAAACGACAAGTGGCAGTTAATTAGTTACCACGACATGGAATGCTCTGGTTTGTACGTAAATCGAACGTGGGCGAATTTATTTCGTTTCTTTCCACGTTACTTAACGTTGCGTATTTCCCACGTAGATTACAGGATCTACTTGTTCAAAGCTGGTTCGAACCTTTACGGCGTAGAAATTTAACTGGAAGCTTTTAACCTTACTTTTCTACGATCTCGTTTTTCTTTCGATGAAAATATCGTATAGAGAAGAGATTTATAAAGCGAATCGGAAGGTAGTGATGTTGTAGGGTGTTGGAGACCTTGTTTAGCAAGGTCCGTCGACGGGGGGGGGGAAGCCATTTACTTAGGACTAAACGAAGGATCTAAATGAAATTCTGTCTTGGTGTAAATGACGAAACGTAGGAATGATATGTGGAATTTTGAAAGCCTCTGCTGCTATCGTTAGCATCATCGTTGATTTCTGCTTCCGGAGTAGCGTCCTCTTCGGGCATCTTTTAATCGTACAAAATACTGTACTAGGTACACATTTAAGAAGGGAAGATTAACGTTTCTTGGACATTATCTTCGATCCACAAGACTTATCTGGTATAAATAAAACTGGGATCTTTCGTTTCGAAGTGGGTGGTTTTGCGTCGCAATGCGATTTCCATACTAATATCACTTTATCCGACCGTTATTTCTGAATTTGCGCAACTTTCGTATAGCGTGCTGCACATCTTCCTCACTATCAACGCGTTCGTTCGTTCCGTGACGGCACACTTGTCCGTGGAACGTGGTTGTCCCTCTGGAATGGAGGAAACAGGAGTTATCGCCTTGGTAATTGGCATTGCGTTCCTCGCGCTCAATTCTCTCGATCCCTTTCATTGTTATCGTTCGCACTGGCGAAGACAAGAAGCTCTTCCGCCTCCGGTTCCGCTTCCGCGGACTTCTTCCCCTCCATGTCGATGTAAGATTGCGCGCGTTCGTTGGTAGGCGTGACTAGGTCGTTCTCACTGTTGCTGGTAACGCTGCTGGTGTTTCTAAGTTTGATAGGGCTCTCGTAATGATTGACGGTGAAACCGATCGGTAACCGATGATCGTTCACGTAAGCCAACTTGACGGATTCCTCGGGGAAAGATGCTATAGGCTGTTGCCAAAGGGTATGGAGCTTGTCGATCTTGTCGCACTTGGTCACCGTATCGGAGGACGGTTTCTCTAGGTAGTTGACAACGTTCTCGGCGTCGTCCGTGGCCTCGTTACCGGAACCTGTGCCAACCACGAACGATTAAGAGTCGAAACGGGGTTAGGTGATTTTTTCTAGAAACGAGAAGGGACGTACTGGTTGGACTGTCCAACGCGTGAAGAGAGGCGAAATAAGCCTGATTGTGAACGGTTCTTGGATTCAGATCCAAGTATTCGACGGTGTCCTCTAACATCTTCTCCCAATGGTTGGTGAGTTGTTTGAAGGATGGCCTCATGGCAGGCTGTTGGTGCCAGCAGGATATCATGAGCTTGTACCTACGGGCGGAAAGGGTTGGGGTTAGCTGGAGGGAAGAAGGAAGTCTGGTTTGACGATCGTTTCACTCACAGGTGTTGCGAGCAATTCGCCGGTCTCTCCATACGGTATCCGGCCTTCAACAGATTATAGAGATTGTGCACGTCCACGCCGGGGTAAGGAGAGGCGCCCAAAGTGACCAACTCCCAAAGGAGAACGCCGAAGCTCCAAACGTCCGATTTGCTGGTATATACGTGATCAGCGAGAGACTCCGGTGCCATCCATTTCACCGGTACTGCAGGATTAAAGGAGGATTTTTAGCCAGCCGGCGGCTGCGCCCGTTAAACCTCCCTTGCTCGGTAATCCATGGAGAATTACGAGCGGGGCGGTAGGCGGTAGGCGTTGGAGTAAGGCGTTTCGCGATAAGAGGAACAGACGTACCTCGGCCTTTGCTGCGCTTCAGATAAGCATCGTCTTCGTAAACGTCACGCGTCAGTCCAAAATCGGAGATTTTGCAGACTTTCTCAGCGGCGAGTAGCACGTTTCTGGCTGCGAGATCCCTATGGACCAGCTGACCGAACAGAGAGAGAGTGTTATCGGCGTGGAATGAGCCTGGAGCGGCATGCGATTATCGCGGGATTACCTTAATATCCGCGAGGTAGGCCATTCCCTTGCTAATCTGCCAAGCGAACGAAAGGATATCGCGCGGAGTGACCGTGTAGGCGGACGTTCGGTCCACGGCGTGCAACTGTTCGTCGGCGTTGGACAAGGACGAGCCACATCCACCGGATTCCAAATGTCGGCTGCGCCTCAAGTAATTCCTGCAAAGTTTCCATATTCTTGGAAAGTTGGGGCAATATCGAGGGCGACACGCTCGGAGTGTCGCCCGTTTGTCGCCATTTCTTCCTCCCCTTTAGCATTTAGAAGATGCTAGGCGAAAGGAGAATTCAATTAACGCCGCGTAGAACGCCGTGTGGTGGAACGCGTTGGTTATGACCGAGACGGTGGAGGAATTTCGCAATGCGGAATTCCGTAGGCACTCACCGTAGCGAGCCAAACTCGGCGAACTCGATGATGAGATAGACCGGAGCCCCAGGAGTGGTGCAAGCACCCAGCAGTCTGATCACGTTCGGATGCTGAGCTTCCTTCAGGAGCTGATACTCGGAGAGCAAATCCGCCAATTCGGAGGCGCAGGCGTTCTCCTTCAACGTTTTCACAGCGACGGTCGTCGCTCCGGAAATTCCACCGATGTCCACCGCTGTTGCTCGTAACACTCGACCGAATTCTCCCTCGCCCAATACTTGTTCGATGGTCAATCGCGATCGTGGAAATTCCCATTTCGGATCCGGCTACGCGATAAACATCCATCATCCTCTCTGTCGGCTATTTCGTTTCGATTCCAACTACCGAATCAACGGAGACGTCAACTTACCGGAGACGTTTTCGGAAGAAGCAGATGACGATTTGCCGCGGTGAAGGTGTCCAAGCCGATCAACAGGCCGTCACCGCGGTCGATGTAGTCCGAGGGTAGTATACTGGCTCCGTTCGAGTCACCGTCCACCCTTCGTTTCCCTTCCCGTCGCGCCTCTTTCGCGGCCAATCTGAATGGAAATCGTTATCTCTCGGAGAAGGAGAGTTTTTTTTTTAAAAGGCGCGCGAGTCGAAGCAGCCGCGGCCAAACGATGAGGAAGCTTTTTTCAATTTCGTGCGTTGCGTTCCGTTCCGTTCCGTTCCGTTCCGTGCTCTATATGCTCTACCGAAATAGTCTAGCTAGCCTAAACTATTCGAAACGTGGAAAACGTGGAGTTGCGCGCAGCCATCTGACAAAAGATACATTTCTGTTGGGAGGAGTTCGATAAGCCGATATGTATCTGTTGGCCGAACGTCACCGAGGGATCAAAGAAGAAAGAAGAGCTAGGTTTCCCCCCTCCGACTTTTATCGAACGATCGACCATGGTCGCGAACAAGGGACTCGTTCTAGAGTTATCTAGAGTTATCTGGAACGAGTTATCGTCCAGCTGTAATTCTGCAGCTGTCGCAGAAACCTACATCAGCTAGAAGCGTACTATGCGTTATCGAGCGACGACCACTCACTCACCTGTATCTCGAAGTGACGAAGGAACCAACGATCGCGATCAGCACGAAGAAACTGCCTCCGATCACGCCTATCATGCAGAAGGGACCGCACGATCCGTGAGACGCTGCGAGAAGGAGAAGAGAAAATGGGGCTGTTTTCAACTGGATAGGAGTCGTCGACGAACCTTTCCTAGCGTCCGGCATTGCTATCTCGTTCCCTTGCTCTCGCAACTTGCTCTCTTTTCCCTCCTTGCTGGCTTTCCCGAGGTTGTCGTGACGTCTAGGTAAGTGCTCCACGTTGCAGGTGCATTGGAGCATGTCGTTGCACGCGCAGATTCCCGAAGCGCTTTTGATTCCACGCCCGCCCTTGTTCATATGAGCGAAATGCACGTCCGCTGAAACATCCAACGTAGTTATTTCGTTGCTCTTTCTCCGCGTTTGGTAAGGCGGTGGCTTACATTCGACGGTGCAATCCTGCGGGCAAATGCGAGGGTCGAGTCGTTCGAGCTCGTCGCACTGGTTGTCAGGGCAGTGAGTCAAATCCGGCGAACAGGTCGGGTAGTGGTCCGACATCGTGGAAACTTCGTTCGACCGTTTGTTCCACCTCCACGCGCATTGTCCGGAGAAGTTGCCCTTGCTGGAAAGTTAAAAGCCTCGACGATTGCACGAGAGAGACAGAGAGCCGCGAAGAGAAACGAGATAGGAAAGCGCTGTAACCTGTAAAGGCCGCTGCCGACACCGCAGCTGGACACGCACTTTTCCGGCAAATTGATTCTGATACTCTTGGAGGAGACCGCGTGATCCTTTCCACTCCACTTCACTTTGAGCCTAAAAATTCCACGGATGCATCCGTCAGTTCGATCGAGTTGGTTATCGCGATCGAGCAAGGAAGGACGAATCTGGTCAGGTCTTACAGCAAGTTAGCTGGCTCTGTCTTGAGCAGATCTTCGTCGAGCACGTAAACGATGCCAGTTGTTCGGGTGACGGCGAACGCGTTCGATCCGTGGACGGTGAAATTGACGGAGGGATGCGGTTCGTTGGAAGGTTTCGCGATTCGCGTGTAACGGGACGCGATCCTCGCGACTTTTACATTCGAAGGATAGGAGAAGGCTTGTTGCTGTCTGCTGGAAGACACCGGTGGTATCGGCGTGGTCGTGGTCGTTCGATGCTCCGGTCCGTAAAAAGTCAGCGTGATGTTTAGCTAACGAAACGAGACGAATGGTGTTGGTTGCCGGGCGCTTTTCGAACGTTTGCATTTATCAGTTTGGCTAGCAATAAGTGGAAGCGTGAACTGGTTTTGAAAGAGAGACCAACGATTTCGACGAATTTCCTCCAACCTTTTCGTGGGCGTAAACGACACACGGTGCAGTTTAAACGTTGAAATCGGAAGGTCCGCCCGGAAGATAATAGGGAGCTTCCGCCCACGCGAACAAACGCTTAACCGACTCCGTGGAATCGTGCCTCGAAACCGCGCCCAGCCTTTACCGTCTAATTGTTTAACGAGTCGCGATCATGTCGGCGGATCCTCCTCCTCTTTCTTATTGGAGGCTCAGGGTGGGTGCCCACTTCCGGACACTCGCGATCGAGCAGAGAGGAGGATCGAGATAGAACTAGAGCTGTTGTTTGTTTAACAAATTGAAACGGTTGGAACTTACAGTGTCTTGGCCGTGTCCCGGAAGGAGAGTTTCGTCCTTCACTTGAAGGGTTACGCGATAAGGAGACTTGGGTAGCAGAGTGGTTTTCGCGGAAATTCCTGGAACACGCACAAAGGAATATCCTCCGCGTGAACGATAGGAGCGATAAGAATAAAGAGCAGAGTGAGAGACTGACTTGTGAATATCGCGGTGTAAGGAACGCCTCCGTCGAAGGCCTCGATAGGCAGAGTGTTGTAGGTGATGTTGAGAGCATCGTGACTGTCCCCAAGTATACGCACGGTATAGCGATTACTGGTTTCGGCATCCGCGTCTTTCAGTATCAAGTTGTTGTCGTCCACCAGTTTGTCACCCTG